GCTACGCCATATTTTTGACTGGATATACCTATGATATTCAGTATCAAAAATACTACTCAACACTGCAATGCAGATGGTTTGTCAAGATTGCCATTAGACTTAAATGTTAAACAATAGGAAAATGCAGTTGACATATTGCATTTGACACAATTTGATACCTTACCAGTGACTAGCGCTCAAGTCCGCAAAGAAACATGCAGAGATCCAATACTCGCTAAAGTTTATGATGCTACCATGAAAGGATGGAACTATCAACACAAAGAACTTGGTTCATTTTATCATCACAAAGATGAAATAACCATATATCAAGGATGTCTGATGTGGGGGCTGAGAGTCATTATTCCAAACAAACTTCACAACTATGTGTTAGAAGAACTGCACAGTGGTCATCAAGGTATTGTAAAAATGAAAGCACTCGCTCGAAGCTACGTTTGGTGGCCAGGTATCGACAAGGACATTGAACAAATCACAAAAAAATGCCCTGGCTGCCAGCAGAATCAACCAATGCCTAAAGTTGCACCACTACATCCTTGGGAATGGCCTACATCACCATGGCAACGTATCCATGTTGACTATGCAGGTCCGTTTCAAGGTCAAATGTTCTTGGTAGTTATCGACGCTCATTCAAAATGGTCTGAAGTTGTACCTACTTCAACAACTACCGCCACTAAAACTATTGAGATTCTTCGCACAATTTTTGCACGATTTGGCATACCTGAAACACTAGTAAGTGACAATGGTTCACAGTTTGTCTCAGATGAATTCACAGATTTCATGAAACGCAATGGAATCAAACACATCATTTCTGCTCCATACCACCCATCAACAAATGGATTCGCAGAAAGATCAGTGAATTCTTTCAAACAAGCACTGAAGTCCATAAAGGAAGAAAAAGAAACAGTACAGAAAAAACTTCTGCAATATCTAATGTTGTACCGCAACACACCTCATTATGACTACAGGAAAAACTCCTGCATCACTGATGTTAGGAAGAAACTTGCGTACACGGTTAGATCTACTAAAACCTGATATTTGCTGCGATGTAATTCAAAAACAAATCGATCAATCAGCGATAAGAAAAACTGCTCAAGATCGACAACTGAATGTAGGTGATCTGGTTTCAGTACGTGACTATCGACAACGTGGTACAAAGAGGATATCCGGTATTGTAACAAAGAAAACAGGCCCAGTTTCCTACAAAGTTGAAATTGCTCCGAATGTTATTTGGCGTCGTCACATTGATCAATTGCAGAAATCAAATATACCTGTGACTCTCATTACTGATCAATATGACATTACTAGACCATCAACTTCAGAATTAAATATGTCACCAAGTGAACAACCATCATCTTGTGACACTGACAGCGCAGCAATAGATCCAACAGAGAACAAAGAACCAATACCATCCACATCACATCCAACAATTGCTATTTCATCACCAGCAAGCAAGCCAGAGAAAGAAAGACGTTATCCCACCAGACTACGTAAACCACCTGATAGATTAGATTTGTAAAAAAAAAATTACCACAAGTGATTGTATGGAGTAATGGCAGAATAATCCATATATAATCACTAGAAGTCAGAATAGTCTACCTCTGTCTTCTTTTTGGCAATAGGAAGTTAATTTAAGAATTTTGAAATATTGTTTAAATGTATTGTTACCTCGAATTTCACTTGTTCGTTTTTATTCTCGAATTATTTATTAAATATTTGAGCCAACCTAACCAACTAGACAACAGAATTAGTAAGAAGGAATGTAATGTACTTTACTATGCAAGTTAATTTGACAACAACGCCCTCTACGTTACTTAGTAACCATGCTATTTTTAGATTATGCTAATAAAGCTGTTCTGTACATGGCTGCCATTTTTGGATTGATTATTATGTAGTCTGCTGGTCAATTCTTTTAAATACACAGCAATATTAAAAGATGAAAATATCCTTTCTATCCTGGTTTCACCTATAACAGATATCATAAATGAATCACTT